GAAATAGGTGTTTACCACAGCCATTTCCATTCTCTTTGCGCAATCTACCACTGACTGTCCTTCCAAGTTTCTCTCCCTAACACCAAACCTACCTATCACTTCCTCATCTCCTCTGTTCCCTTCCCCTACATGACCATTAAAGTCTGCTCCAATCACCACTCTCTCTCCCCTGGGGATACCCTCTATCATCCAATCCAGCTCATTCCAGAACTTCTCATTTTCTTCTAACTCACAGCCCACCTGTGGGCTATGTTTTTACCCTCAGTATATCCATCAGCGATGTTAATTGCTTTTCATTTGAAGCGAGTTATAGTGAAGTGTGTGTCGGTTTGTACAATAAAACATGTCACGCTGTCTATTGGAAAAAAAGCCTTTACAGTCTGCATCACTCACTACCATGCCCCCTTCCCACTTTGGTGATAACACCTTTATAAGATTGGGGTGACCATGTCACCAAATACCATCACTGTCATAATGCCATCACATAGCACCAGTTTTAAAATGTCTGTTACAGAGCTGTTGTTGTAGGTCATGAAATTTCTCCTTCTCATTTTTCTAATCCCTGAATCAAAATGAAAGTGAAATGAAACTGGGTTGATTGTGCCCGTGCAGGCTTCTCATAGCAGGGGTTCTAGGCGTGACTAGCTCTGAATCAACCTGTCAGGATCAACCTGTCTGCCCCCAGTTAGAATATAACTGGGGGCATGGCTGTGTTTGGATTCAACCAATTACATTGAAACTCATGTTAAATGGAATCAGCACACACTTGTCACTATTTTAAGTGCCTCTGACAAACCCCAAATAAAATTCAGCTGTTCTAGTAGACATTTCTTCACATTTTGGTAGCCACATCTTCCAGCAGAAGCCATGGTCTGCAGAGAGCTTCCAAAACATCAGAGGGTTCTCATTGTTCAAAGGTATCAGTCAGGAGAAGGGTACAAAAGAATTATGTATGAAGTAAAATATACCATGGAACACAGTGAAGACAGTCATCAACAAATAAAAAAAAATATGGCACAACAGTGACATCACCAAGAACAGGACGTCCGTCCAAAAAGGGAGGATACCAAGCGGCCGACAGCAACACCGAAGGAGTTGCAGTAATATCTGGCTGTGTAGTACATGTGACAACAATCTCCTGTCTTCTTCATGTCTGGGCTATGGGGAAGGGTGGCAAGATGGAAGCCTTATCTCTCAAAGAAAAACATCCAAGCCTGCCATCTTTCAGCGTTGGCATGCTGAAAGATGGCAGGCTTGGATGTTTTTTGACCCAAAACACACATCCAAATCAACTAAAGAATGGCTTCACCAGAATAAGATTGAGGTTTTGGAATGGGCCTGAATCCGATCTAACATCTGTGGGGTGATCTGAAGAGGGCTGTGCACAGGAGATACCCTCGCAATCTGTCAGATTTGGAGCAATTTTGGAGCAAAGAAGAGCAGGCAAATATTGCGACATCAAGATGTGCCATACTGATAGACACTTACCCAAAAAGACTGAGTGCTGTAATTAAAGCCAAATGTGCTGCAACAAAGTATTAGTTTCAGGGTGTGCATATTTATGCAACAAGGTTATTTTATGTTTAAATTTTTTATTTTTCCTTCGTGAAGATTTCAGTTTGTTTTTCAATTGCCTATTACATGTTATGGGTCACATTAAAAGTGGAAAAAGAAATTATTTATCTTTGTGTCTTTTTTTACATCACAAAAACATGGCATTTGAACAAGGGTGTGTAGACTTTTTATATCCACAGTAGCCAAGTCTACTGGGAAATTTGTCAGTGTTATTTAATTCAAATGTTGCATCAGTTTGCCTAGAGAGGAAAGGAATGAAGTCTGTACCCTAAAAAAAACATAGCTTCAATTTTGTGTTAAAACACTGATAGGAAAATGCTGATTCAACTTGTTTTTACTTGGTTAAGATTACCACCCCAATCATGTAAATTTATTTGGGAAATTCATCAGAGTACATTTTTAACACATTGGCAAAATGACACACATTGTACTGTATATCCCTTCCTCCATGCTTGCAGTTATTGTTTACACAGTTGATACACATGATGTTATTGTCACAAACTGAAGAAAAAAGTTGTGTTACACGAAGCACCTTGAGCCTGGATCCTAAACGCCCAGCATGCATTCAATTGTCAAATAGATTGTTAGGAACTAAAAACTGATTGACGTTGTGGACAACAGTGCCTTCACTGAAGTTTTGAAATCCAGCGTCAAGATGCACTGTAATAGCATCTAAATAAATATTAATATTTACAAATTTTGATTTATCCTAATTAAACTTGATTATTCATGGTTAATTACGATCATGATTAATTGTGATTAACCCACAGCTGCCCAGATTAAAATCGCTTGATAGCCGTACTTTTTAAATATAAAAGAAAGGAGAGACTGAAGTGATACAGATTGGTCATATTACCTTTGTCTATTAACTTACATTTTTTTAGTTGTGTTATGTTGTATTCTAAGACAGGTTTTATTTCCTTTAATATATTTACAGTTTACTCAGTCGGCCTCCACTAACAAATCACAGATGCAAGCCTGCAAGGCACGACTCATCATTCTGTCTCTCTCATTACCAACATCAGTCACCAACATATTCCCATTCATTAGTTACTGCACACTGCAAAATGACTGGAGATATTAGTAAAATAATCAGCTTCATTTGTCAGTGTTCATATGCAGACACGCAGACACTTGTCAACATTTGTTGGAGCAGTAGGTTCGTTCAGTAAACGGTTACAGCAAAATAACTTGTCAATGTCATTATGGCTACCTTATAATTTCCTGTCTCTCGCCTTTCCCTTGACCTGGAACATATGATTCCTCCCCTCAGAGCTCATGTGTAACTGCAGCAGTGGGAACGAGGGGATTTTAGATCCCAACGAGTGTGACCAGACCACCGGTCAGTGTGAGTGTCTGATGGGATACGCCGGCCTGCAGTGTGAGGACTGTATTGAGGGCTTCTTCACCAATGGCACCAGCAGCTGTCTGCCCTGTTCATGTGACTCCTTCGGAGCCGTTAACCACCTCTGTGACAGGTCAGGCTGCTCTCCCTACTGCCTTTTCAATGAAAACTCTGTGCTCTTGTATGCTCTTATTTATGTGAAACTTGAAAGAACAAGTTTTAAATGCAGCAAGATCAAAGACATTCAGTGTTTTCAAAGAACTTTATTTTATTTCACTCTAATCAAGACTTTTATCTTGAAATTTTTGTTCCATCACATCTAAAAAGTCTTCTCATCATCTCTAACCTCTGGGGAACTGGAGTTAGTGAATTTCTGTGCATATTTGCTTCATTAAAGACTATAAATGCTCAAAAGTCAGCGTTGCCCATTTTCTAATTCACCTCTTCAGGTGAGAGACAGATCATGAGGCCAATGAAGCACACAGATGAAAATGTCATGCTCAAGATCACTGGAAACACTGCAATGATTAGGATTTCATCATTTTAGAATAGAAACAGTCAAATTTTATTTTGTTTGGTGGTTATACTTTAAAAATGTACTATAAAAACCTATGTTGGAGTGATGTGGCCTGTCAAGCATTAACCCAGACTTTGCTTTGAATTAATGTGCATTATCTCCCAAAGACATGAACTCAGCTCTCCTGTGTAATAACTTAGACTTACAGCATCATTATTCCACCAATTTAGGCAAACCACCAGCCAACAGGCCTCCCTGAAGGCATCGCAATCCTCACACTCTGCTTACTCTTCCAATCCTGTGCTCTGAAAAACAACACACACACACACACAGTAGATCTGACTGCACATGCAGTTTGTCCACAAATCACTGGAACTGTGACTTGGATCAGTAAGATATATGTGCGGCTTTGAGGTAAAACATAGTGACTGTCTTTTGCTGCCAATGACCATGTAAAGGAAAGTTGTGGTTTTCATGTGTGAGTAACTGTCAATGAGTTGTGCTGTCAAAGGGTGGATTAATTAGATGGAGGCGCTGTGCATCCTTGATGCCAGTGGTAGCTGAAAGGTGCAGTTCCAGTGTTATTGAGGTGAAGGTGCCGACCTGAGGGTCAGGTTTTCCCACACCACCACACCAGACTTAGTCCTTCTCAGACTGTCTGAGCTAGACTGCTGGTACCTTAGTCACCCCCATGAGCTTATCACTAGTAATTAGTCTGCTCCTGCAGCTCACCTTGATGACTGCTGCTTTACAGTGAAGTAAAAAACCTGTGATACCTGGTCTTTGTGTTTTTTTTTTTACTTTATGGTCTGCTTTTCCATTGCATAGCATTGTAAGGTTGTCAGTCTCTACTCGGTAGATGTGTACAGTGTACTGTACGTAGAACATACAGTATACATCCATCCATTCATTTTCATCTGCTTATCGCGGGGGTCGCGGGGGCAGCAGTCTCCATGACCGCCACCCAAATCACACTGCACTGCACCAACCCCCCTAAACCTTCCTGCAGGTGGTGAGTCCACTGGAAGGTACCAACCACCCTAACCTAATCTTGCCTAGGAGGTGAACCCTGGGGTGCCACACCAATGACAGAGACATTGCCTCTTGGCCAAAGCGCCACCTTAAAGTATTATTGTGCAGAGAAAGAGATTAGCGAAGAAGAGATGGGACAGTGACAGAACAGAAGAGAACAGACTGGAGTACAAAGAGAGGACAAGGGAGGTGAAGAGGGAAGTGGCCAAGGCCAAACAAAAGGCATATGAGGAGTTGTATGAGAGTTTGGAAACAAAGGAAGGAGAAAAGGAGTTGTATAGATTGGCGAGACAGAGAAATCAAGCTGGGAAGGATGTGCAGCAGGTGAGGTTGATTAAGGACAGAGAGGGGAATGTGATCACAAGTGAGGAAAGTGTGCTGAGAAGATGGAAGGAATACTTTGAGGAGTTGTTAAATGAGGAAAATGAAAGGGAAAGTAGAAACGAGGAGCCAGAGACTAGTAGGAAGAAGGTAGATCAGGTTAGAAAGGATGAAGTTAGAAAAGCCCTGAAGAGGATGAAGAGTGGAAAGTCAGTTGGTCCTGATGACATACCAGTGGAAGTATGGAAGTGTTTAGGAGAAGTGGCAGTAAATTTCCTGACTGGTTTGTTTAACAGAATTTTAGAGACTGGCAAGATGCCTGATGAGTGGAGAAAAAGTGTTCTGGTGCCAATTCATAAGAAGGGTGATGCACAGAGTTGTAACAACTACAGAGGGATAAAGTTGATGAGCCATACAATGAAGATTTAGGAAAGAGTAGTTGAAGCTAGGTTGAGGCAGGAAGTGGAGATTTGTGAACAACAGTATGGTTTCATGCCTAGGAAGAGTACCACAGATGCAATATTTGCCTTGAGGATGTTGATGGAGAAGTACAGGGAAGGTCAGAAGGAGCTGCATTGTGTATTTGTAGATCTAGAAAAGGCATATGACAAAGTGCCAAGGGAGGAATTGTGGTTTTGTATGAGGAAGTCAGGAGTGGCAGAGAAGTATGTTAGTTTGGTGCAGGACATGTATGAGAATAGTACAACAGTAGTGAGGTGCGCTGTTGGGAGGACAGAAGACTTCAAAGTGGAGGTGGGACTACATCAAGGATCGGCCCTGAGCCCCTTCTTGTTTGCTGTGGTGATGGACAGATTGACAGATGAGGTCAGACAGGAGTCCCCATGGACTATGATGTTTGCAGATGACATTGTGATCTGTAGTGAGAGTAGGCAGCAGCTAGAAGAGAACCTAGAGAGGTGGAGGTTTGCACTAGAAAGAAGAGGAATGAAGGTCAGTCGCAGCAAGACAGAGTACATGTGTGTAAACGAAAGGCAGAACAGTGAAATAGTGAGGCTACAAGGAGCAGAGGTGGTGAAGGTGCAGGAGTTTAGGTACTTAGGATCAACTGTTCAGAGCAGCGGAGACTGTGGAAGAGAGGTGAAGAATAGAGTACAGGCAGGATGGAACAGCTGGAGAAAAGTGTCAGGAGTGATCTGTGACAGAAGAGTGTCAGCTAAGGTGAAGGGAAAGGTTTACAGGACAGTGGTGAGACCAGCCATGATGTATGGTTTAGAGACAGTAGCAATAGGCAGAAGACAGGAGGAGGAGCTGGAGGTGGCAGAGTTAAAGATGCTAAGATTCTCTTTAGGAGTGACAAGAATGGACAGGGTCAGGAATGAGGTCATTAGAGGGACAACACAGACAGGAAGGTTAGGAGAGAAAGCTAGAGAAGCCAGATTGAGATGGTTTGGACATGTGCAGAGGAGGGACAGTGGATACATTGGTAGAAGAATGTTAGAGATGGAGCTACCAGGTAGGAGAAAGAGAGGAAGGGCAAAGAGGAGATATATGGATGTAGTGAGGGAGGACATGCAGATAGTTGGAGTCATTGCAAAATCTACCACTGCCTGTCCTTCTACGTTTCTCTCCCTAACACCAAACCTACCTATCACTTCCTCATCTCCTCTGTTCCCTTCCCTTACATGACCATTTAGGTCTGCTCCAATCACCACTCTCTCTCCCCTGGGGATACTCTCTATCATCCAATCTAGTGGCTGGCTTAGGGTACAAACATGGCATCCCTCTATCTCTTTAATTCAATGTCTTTTCCACCTTGTAGTGTTTTCAGTGTATTCGGGGTCACACCAAAAACCAGGGGCCGCAGTTGGGCTGCATAGTAGTATTCGAGAAGATTTGGTAGAGCTAGTCCACCTTTCTCCTTGCCCCCCCCCCCCATATAAAACGTGAGATCTTTTTGTCCCATTCCTTGAATTGTGATGTGGGAGTTTCTATATGTAATGATTGAAGCAAATAGAGAATTCTTGGTAAAACATTCATCTTGATGATTTCTATTCTGGAGCTGAAGTCTAACGTTAGTGTGGACCATCTTTCCATGTCCTTTCCATGTCTTTCCATGAATCTCCCGGTTTAGTCCTATGTAAAAATCTATCCTTGAATAATTTCACTAATGGGGAAAAAAAATATAACTTTATTTTTGTCTTTTATGGGAAGAAGAGCTACAAGAATGCTGAAGGTGACGAGATATTTATTTTGTTCAAACACTGATAGTGACAGTAATTCTCAGAAACAGGATGAAAACACTGTGAGAGAAGTTATAATTAAACATAAAGTAACGCACGTCTAAATCAACAACGTTCAGAAAAAAAAAAGCTCATATAAATAATGGGAATATACATGAGTATCAAATTGTGTTTGAGACATTAAATAGTTCTTGCTTTGGGCTTTGGGTTTCACCTGTGAAAGCAGTATTTGCTGTTAAGCAAACATGAACACCAGAGAGCTGTCAATGGGAGAAAAGCAAACCATTTTGAAGCTGAGAGAAGAGGGAAAATCGATCAGAGATATTGCACAAACATTGGGCATAGCCAGTACAACAATTTGGAATGTCCTGAAAAAGAAAGAAACTACTGGTGTACTGAGCAACAGACATCGAACAGGTCAGCCACGGGTAACAACAGCAGTTGTTGACAGAAACATTGTGCGAGCTGTGAAGAAACAACCAAAGACAACAGTCACTGTCATCACTGCCAACCTCCACAGGGCAGGGCT